TCAGACCTGAATGTTCATAAGCAAAGATGGAAGAGTCGAATCACTCACTTCCACATCTATCATTGAGAGGAAGGAAGGAAGGAAGGAACTCCTGCACCATTTCATGTGGTTTTTGATCTGGATCATTATTAGGAACATGTTCATGATGACAGTGATATTTATGCACATCTCTCTCTCTCTCTCTCTCTCTCTCTCTCTCTCTCTCTCAATTTCAATTTAAGAGTGCTTTATTGGCATGACAAAAATTATACATTTGTATTGCCAAAGCAATTGCAGCTGGACTGCTTACAAATAGTACACATATGTATTAACAGAAAGAAAAATAATAATAGTAATAATAATATATAAAAAGTATTAAGCATGTAGTGCAAAATTAATTACTAATGTATGTAAGTATATAAACTAGAAATAAAAATAAAATAAGGGATTAGACAGATTTACAGAAGCAAGTAAGTAATATAGAAGTATTACTTCTATAAGAAGAAGTAATATAATACAGTAATTTGGCCTAATATAATGTAGCTGTGCTGGAAAAATCAGATCAGGGCAGGGTGAGTGTTTTCTCTTCTGTGGTGACAGGCAGACACATATTGAGCAGCAAACACACAGCAGTTCTTCTGTTCTCCTAACAGATACAACACTTTCTCCTGGTCTGAGAGAGTTTGAAATGTCTGATGGATCTGCTGTATTTTATCGTAGAACACTGTCCGTATATCTGTGTATTTGGGGCATTCTGTTAGGAAGTGCAGCTCTGTTTCCATCTGATTCAGATCACAGTGTGAACACAGTCTCTGCTCCGGTGGCAGCCATGTTTTTCTGTGTCTGCCCGTCTCTATCATCAGCTTGTGTCCGCTGAGTCTGTATCTGGTCAACATGCTTCTCAGTTTCTTATCTGACACTGTGTACAGATACTCTGCCGTACTGTACTCTCTCTTTAGGGCCAGATAGCATTGCACTTTACTCTGCTGTTGTGTTTGGGTTTGCCAGTGAGTGATGTAGCTCTGTTTGATCTGTGCAGTAATCTGACTGATTCTGATGCTGTGATGCAGAGCAGCAGTAGATGTTAGTGAAGCATCAGGACTGAAGCTCTGGATCAGCTGAGGGAGGGGCTTGCTTTCTTTGCTCATCTCTTGGTCTCTTGGTATTGTATAATGATATGATTGGGGGTCACTGAGCTTCAGATGTTTCCAGAATTTAATTGCCCTTTTTTGTATCTTTGTATCTTTAGGATATTTGCCTAATTCTGCCCTGCATGCGTTATTTGTTGTGTGCCGGTGCACGTGTAATATATTTTTACAGAGTTCTGCATGCAGGGTCTCAATCGGATGTTTTTCCCATTTGGTGAAATCTTGATTGGGATTTGTCAGTGGACCCCACACCTCACTGCCATAGAGGCCAATGGGCTCAATTACTGATTCTAATATTTTCAGCCAAATTCTAATAGGGATCTCTATAGGACATTGCCGTTTGATGGCATAGAAGGCCCTGCGTGCTTTATCTCTCAATTCATTCACAGCATGATTAAAGTTTCCCGTGGATGTGATTTTCAAACCCAGGTAGTTGTAGTGTGATGTGTGTGTTATCTGCTGAGTGCCTAATGTAAATGTGTGTGGTGTTCCCTGGGATCTGGATCTTTTCTGAAAGATCATAATTCTGGTTTTCTTCAGGTTGACTGTCAGAGCCCAGGTCTGGCAGTATTGCTGTAGCAGGTCCAGGTTCTGCTGTAAAGCGTGTTGAGTGGGAGACAGCAGAAGCAGGTCGTCTGCATACAGCAGGCATCTGATCTGAGAGTTGTGTAGGGTGAGGCCAGGGGCTGCAGATCGCTCCAGACTGCTCGCCAGTTCATTGATGTAGATGTTAAATAACATTGGGCTTAAGCAGCAGCCCTGTCTCACTCCACGCTCCTGGGAAAGATACCTCGTACGTTTGGTGCTGATTTTTACGCCACATTTACTTTCAGTGTACATTGATTTGATAAGCTCATAGGTTTTACCTCCTATGCCACTTTCAATAAGTTTGTAGAATAGTCCTTGGTGCCAAATTGAGTCAAAAGCTTTTTTAAAGTCAATAAAGCATGCATATATTTTACCTTGGTTAACGTGTTTTTCAATTAGAGTATGTAATGTATAGATGTGATCAGATGTACGGTAATTTGGCTTCTGCTCAGTACATTGTGTGTGGTGATGAAGTCTAATAGTCGAGCATTTATTATGCTACAGAATAACTTTCCCAGGTTGCTGCTCACACAGATGCCTCTGTAGTTGTTAGGATCAAATTGATCTCCGTTTTTAAAGATTGGTGTTATCAAGCCTTGATTCCAGATGTCAGGGAAGTAACCTACGCTCAGAAGCACATTGAATAGTTTTAGAATGGCCGATTGGAATTTACTGCTGGTGTGTTTTATCATTTCGTTTAATATCCCATCAGGTCCAAATGCTTTTTTGAGTTGGAGGTTTCTGATTTTTTCTTTAAGTTCTTTATCAGTTATTGGGAAATCTAATGGGTTTTGGTTATCTTTGATGGATAATTCTAGTTTTTCCAGTTGCTTGATTGTTTGATTTTGCTTACAGTTTGTGTCTGTTTGTACTTTATTAAACAATGTTTGGAAATTACTTTCCCATATTTCTTCATTTTGTATAGCCAATTCTTCATGATCAGTTTTTTTCAGATTGTTCCAATTTTCCCAAAATTGGTTTGTGTTCACTGACTTCTCGATGATTGTCAGTTGTTTTTGGGTGTATTGTGCTTTTTTGGTTCTGAGCGTATGTTTGTATTGTTTTAGTGTTTCACTGTAAAGAAGGCGGAGCTCTGCATTATTGGGATCTTTGTGTTTCTGATTTGACAATGTTCTCAGTTTTTTGCGAATAGTTTGCCATTCCTGATCAAAACAATTTTTGTCATTTTTGGGTATTTGATTTTTTCCATTTTTTGTTTTCAATTTGGATTGTTTTGCTGATTTTTCAAATATGTAATTGATATCTTTGACCGCAAGATTGACCCCCTCATTAGTGTGAGCATAGGTGTTATTTAGAAAGTTATCTACCAGCGCTTGTATTGTTTGGCTGCTAAGTGCTTTCTGATATTCTTCAGCGCTGTTGTCAGCCCATCTGTATGGCTTTCTGATGTTGTACAGCTTACTGGGCTTTGTGTTAATGCTGTTTTCTGTCTTTTTGAGATGCACAGTGATTTGACTGTGATCAGACAGAGGGGTTAGTTCTCTGACAGTGAATGATCTGAGAGATGAAGGATCTATGTCTGTTATCATATAATCAACTGTGCTATTCCCCAGAGGTGAGCAAAATGTGAATCTCCCTAAAGTGTCTCCTCGTATCCTACCGTTGATGATATACAGACCCAGGCTTCGACAGAGCTGCAGGAGGACTTTTCCATTCTTATTTACTGTAGCATCATGGTTATTTCTGTGGATATGGGAGAATGTGTTATTAATAACCGTCAGTTTGTTGTTGATATATTTGCTCCCCTGTGCGTCGGTGAAGTCCGGCTGTAGTCCTGTTCTTGCGTTCAGGTCCCCGCAGATGAGCACGTTTCCCTGGGCCTGGAAGTGGCTTGTCTCTTCTTCTAATGTGGAGAACATGTCTTCGCTGTAGTAGGGGGACTCTGATGGCGGGATGTATATGGCACACAGGAATATATCTTTTCTGGATGGGAGCAGTTCCTTGTTGATTTTAAGCCAGCTGTAGTATTTGCCTTGCTTTACTGTGTTGATGTGGTTGTGGAATTGTGATTTGTACCAGATGATTTGTCCTCCTGAGTCTCTTCCGTGTCGGACTGTGTTGAGTTTTTGTGATGGTAGGATGATTTCTCTGTAGTTGGGTGGGCAGCGGGTGATGGTGTCTGCCCTGCTCCATGTCTCCTGTAGAATTATAATATCCATCTCTTTGATGCTCTTCTGAAATTCTGTGTTTGAACTCTTTAGTCCAAAGGCTGTTGAATTCAAGCCTTGAATATTCCACATTGATATTGATAGTCATTTTAAGTGTGTGTGTGTGTGTGTGTAGGTATTACTCTTGTACATTATTTGACCAGTTTGGAGCAGATGATGTTGAGCAGGTGTCTTATATGATTGAGTTCTGCGGCTGCAGGGTTTTGTGGATGTTGGACTGCTGCGGCGTAGCTCTGTGATGGTGCTCCAGGGGTCGAGTCCTGTCTGCTTCTTG